CTTTTCTCATGACATTCACTGTGACTTACTCCCCATCCTGTTTGCCATGCGAGGGAGACAAACATGTGGGGGCACTCCAGAGATAGAGATTGACCTCATGCGATCTTCCACTGGATGCGCCCCTGTTTCCAGCAAGCTCACTGAGCGAAGTGCTTCACCATGAGTATCTATTGTCGATCAATGAGGGTCATAGCATTAACAACTGAGTTTTGAAATATGCAAGATGAAAACAACTTGCAAGCAATTTTTCTTTGTACACCAGAAATATATATATTCATTAGGTTTGTATAATGAGACTTTGTCATTCATGAAAGGTCTTAGTCAAAATTCATACCACTGCTGATTCAAACACATCCATTAAAGAAATAAATGAACAATAAAAATATCCAATGTCTGAAAATGAATTCCCAAGCTTTTCCTACTCTAAAATTATTACTGTCTACCAAGAATATCTAAGCAGGATTCATCTTTTCATAAATATATATGTAAAAGAAAACACATATAATAAAAGGGATGATTATAAATATGCCCATAGTGCAATTAATGATTAATTGTCCAACATAGCTATTCCAAGTCATGTGCTCCCATTCAATCTATCAGAATATGAGGTTACGTCTGCAGTTTAAATTTTCTCATTTGCATTTGTGCTTTTATTCTACATTTATCACAATGGGCTCTATTTGATATACTTCACCTCAAGAGAACATAAATTTGATATGCATACAACCAACATATTAATTCTAAAACAACCTACCCATAGCTATGCACAAGGATTATCTACACTGTTCTACCATATACTACAGAATATTGGATTTATAGTAATAACATGGTCAATAACAAGGTAAATAATAACAATAATAAATCATCATTATATGATTATCATCATTATTATAAGAACAAGGATAACAATCATGATGATTATAAAACTAATGAAAATAATAACAGCAACAGTAATAATAATGTCAATAGAGACAACTCTCTAACTGAAGTACAAGTACTCTGAAATCATAATACAATTAAAGAGACAGATGCAGATTTCCTGAAAATGAAATTTGGTTAACCCCGACGATCCGGATGATGTTATGGTCCTATCAGGGAAAAATCTGGATTGAGGGCAGGGTGACATGAACATGTCTTCATAAGGCAAAAAGGCTGCAGGCCGGGTGACACGAACTTGCCATTGTGCACGAAGGGCAGGGTGATGGAAAAGACTTGCCCTTGTGCACAAAGCTCTTGGAGCGTGCTTTGACTCATTTCGTGCTTAGAAGGGGGCTTTAATATTATTCCCATTATTGTATTACAGAAAATTGAAAATTACAAAAAGATAAGACATATGACACAAATAACCAAAATCTTTGATACTTTTTTATTGCAGAAAGTAATTTACTACACTGAGAGACGATATGGAGTCTGTGCAAGGAAAATATGCTATTACCATCTGGACAAAGCAAATCAAAAGACAAATATGGACATTGGAAAATGGCAAAAAAAGCTAAAAAAGTTTATACAAAAGGGAGGTATAGACTCATCACCACTAATGGGCGTTCACATGCACCCAGCCTACACGCCACATGCCCGGGATGTTGGCTACTTACATAACCCACTGCCCATATTTTTGGCACCATGATTTCCATGACATGACCAGATCCAACGGGTTAATAGAACAAATGTATCATTAACCAGAAAGATAAATGTCCAACTTACATAAAAAACATTAAAAAGGAGGGACAGTTTTCAATATTCTATTTTCCAATAATCAGTATTACCCATTATGTCTCTTACCTATTCAGTATGATCATGAACCATAAACTAACAAAAAGAGAAGGAAGATGAAAAAGAAGAAAAAGAAGAAGGAGAAGATAAAGGAGAACAAAAACAAGAAGCAAGAGAGAGAGTGAAATTAAGAAAGAGAAAGAAAAAGAAACAAGACTCAATTCACCTTTCTTCGGGGTTGTTGGCTCTGAAGCTGGTGTCCCATGCATCTGCGGAGCCAGAGTTGGCATGATGGGAGCTGTCAGGAGTCGGTATTCTGTGTTCACATCCCAAAGTGCGTGGCAAATAGAGTCCACCAAGTACCTGCGTATTTCGTCAAGGTCCACTCGCCCTGATTCCCAAACTTTGAACTGAAGCATCGCCATTGGCCCTGGGCAACAAATTCATTAAAGAACAACAATATCTAGGTTCTTTGCATAATATAAGCAATACTGTAAAAGATGTCCTCCTATACATTTCTCGTTTTGAAACCTATAAATCAAGAAAACTACATATTTTTTCTGCACATTTCTTGTAAAATTTCAAGTTCAGGTGAACAATATTGACATATTTACAACTCCTTACCTGGACTCTTAGTTGGGCTGGGTTGATATTCTTGAGTCTGAGTTAAAGCTTCAAAATCATGTTTTGAAAAGATTTCTTGATAGGCATCTGGGGAAGGTCTCGGACAGCTGGAAGGCAAAAAAATTATCATATTTAAAAAATACTTTGCTTAGGAGGAACTTGATCATCAATGAGTGAATGCAGTTTGAAGTATAAGGTAATACTCACTGTGTTATTACTATTGTTTTTATTATAACTACTGTAGCAGTAGTTCCATCTTGTTTTACTTATTCCTCTCAAGAATTTCACACTTTATTACCAATGAATCATACTTAGTAACAATCACAAATCAATAATATCAAAGGGCCAGATCTTAAAGAAATATTTCCAAAGTAAACCCACTTAAAATAATGTGCAATCAATATGATCACTTGATTAACTGAATAGCGACGGGTAGTATTGTTTTGTTTAGTATTGTTTTGTTAAATGTTTCTGCACACAGATGGCTCTGCCAATGCTTAGCCACAAAGGAGTCAATTAGTAGATCTTCTGACACCCTCTTTTTTTGTAATAGCGGGAAAACACTCTTTTTAGTAATGCTATCAATATCCACAGTCATTTTTGTTATAAACATTATAACTACTACATTGTTATTGAAATTACAAAAGTAATAGATACTAGAAAATATTATTGAAAATCAAGGAAAAGGGTAAACAGGTGAGAGAGATAGTTCTCATAATTGGCTCATTAGTGACTTTGTACTTATGGTGCCATCTATATGTAAAAACAATTACTAAATTAAACACACAGTGGTCATGGCATGTATGCACGTCATCCACGGTGGCAAGTGGTTAATTTTATTATTTAATAATCTTAACCCAATGCCCCTGGGAAATTATTGTGTTCACTGTAATATATTTTTGTGAATTTTTTCTTCACATAGATGGCTCTGCAAATGCTTAGCCACATAGGAGTCAATCAATAGACCTTGTTACTTCAATTGAATTAACTTTTCTTTGAGTTATTAATCCACTAACACAGCATATTTTGAAGCCGAAAAGAATATTTTCTGAGCGGCTACAAAATCGGTGCGCAGGGCCGGCCCGGAATCTACCTGCATACCGGCTGCGGCCCGTGATGTATTTATAATTACTATAGCATTATTGACATTACTAACAGTAATATTAGATGCCACAAAATATTTCTAAAAATCAAGGAAATAGATAAACAGGTGAGACAGGTAGTCCTCAAAACTGGCTCATTGGTGACTTTGTACTTGTAGAACCATCTATGTACAGTAACAATTACTAAATTAAACACAGTGGGTTTTGTATGTACTCACATGCCATCCACAGCGGCATGTGGTTAGGAGGTGTTAATTCTTCTCTCAAATAACATTTAATAAAGACTAACCTGATGTGCTGTACAGTGTTGCTGCTCCCATCAACTATGGAGAAAGCTATACAAGCTATGCCTTTTGCAGCAGACATTCTCGGTCTCACAAAGAGGAAGATGTTGGGTTCGCTAGACATTTCTTGGTCCGTTGCTGAAAAGTCCTAAAAAGGAAAAGAGATAAACCACAAAAAAATTAGCTTTACAGCATAGCTGGAAGTGTTTTCATTTATAGCAATTTTTATTATATGCATATTTTCTTTTTCTTAGAATTATGAGTAAATTCATGGGTAATCCATTACAGCAATAGATGCAATTCAGTTAAATAGAAAGCAATTAATAGCAGTAGAATGGTTTATAAATTATTCTATTTCCTCCCCACCAGACACAGAGGGGCCAGAATATTAAATACTNTTTGACAATTTCCAGGAGGCATCTTAACCCAAAACCAACGGGAAAATATTCCATTCACTTTAATGTTGTTCTGTTAAATGTTTCTGTTCATAGATGGCTCTGCCAGTGCTCAACCATAAAGGAATCAAGAAGTAGATCTTGTGACCTCACCTTTCCTTGCAATAACAGGAAAATGCTCTTTTTACTATTGCTAACAATATTGAAACTTAGTTTTGTTATAAAGATTACAACTATATAATTATTGGCATTACTAACAGCAGTATTAAATACTAGAAAATATTATCACAAATCAAGGAAAAGGGTAAATAGGTGAGACAGGTAATTCTCATAACTGGCTCATTGGTGACTTGGTACCTGTGAACCTATCTATATGTAAAACAATAATACTAAATTAAACACACACTGGGCATCCCCGGTGGTATGTGGTTAAATAACAGATTCCTTCTCTTTTCGACTGAATATTTTATACAAAAATATACGTCAACTCGCCTTTTTTTTATGAAGAGGTCTGTGCACTTTGTATATCAGTAACTGTTAATTGGGTAAATAAAAATATATGCAAAGAAATGGCTAATCTTGATTTTATTTAACACTATAATAACACACGTATCCTGACCATGACTAAAGGATACCATGTCCGATTTTACACATCAATCATTTAGTCACAATGATCAAAATCCGAGTGCAATTGCAGCTTTAATTAGGATATTCGAAACAACAGTGTCAATAGTGGTTCATATTTTATTTGGGAGTGATTCATACAGATAATAGCACTACTTAATGCACCTTTGTACTCACAAGTCAAGTGCTAATATTCCTCATGTAGAGCTCAAACTGATACCCAAGATATATAACATAACGTGTGACTCTTAGGAGTGAACGGTCCATTAAGATCCCATTCAATAGCAAAGAAAAAAAATATCTGCAGTCTCTCTGTTAGGCTCTTGATGTTTCTCCCATAACGGCTCTTACAGACTCCCTTCCCCTCCCTGCTGCATCTTAATGGATCGTCTTCCCAACAAGGGAGAATTAAAATGTGAGCAATGGAAAAAAAGCAACTTCAAAACTACTTCAAAGTACTTTATCCTCAATGTCTAAAGTAACATCAAAAAACATCAAAATGACCTAGTTTAAAAGTAATAGTAATGACAATAAAAACCATCTTTTTTCCACTGAGGTTTTCTCGTAATAGACATAAATTCTTGTGGTTTGTCAGGAACAAGAATGCCACTCCTTAGTCAATGCAACTCCCTGCTGACAACGGATGACAAAATTAAATCAACCACTTTTTTTTATCTCTTACACAACCCCAGCTAGCAGTATATGGTTTGAGAATCTTTTCAGTTTGTAGAATCACCCTATTCTGCATCTGGCTTGAATGAATTTCAGAGTTCAGGATTTGATACATATCTCTATATATTCTTTTAAGGCCACCGTTTTTTTTATGTATCTGCTTTGGGATTCCAATTAATTGTGGCACCTGTTGTCTACATTTTCGAAATTAACAAAAACTTATTCCAAGTTTGATAATACTTCAAAAGAGCAGAATAAAAAATATAACAGTATTGTTGTTAAGTTTGTGGAAAGGGTACTAGGCTTATTTACACTTCAAATTCTGCACACCCCAATTTACTGCAAAAGTACTGTAACCATCTGCTTGTGAGGGGAAAATAAATGCTGGTTGTACTCTGTACATCATTGACCTGTCATATTCATCTTCATAGCAACTTCAAAATTCAGGTAACCAACATTGCATCCCTAGAGAAACAAGTCAAATTTATACTATTTTTTCCTGATCATCATGAATATCCTCAAGATAATTTGATTCAAGATAAGATTTTTCCATCATCAAATATTAACACTTAACAAATTAAATAAACATATGAGGACACATGAATGAAATACCTCTTCCTAATAATCAGCAAATGAACAACTACCCTTTAGCACTGGCACACGGCTAGTGCAGCAAGGAAACTGTCCTTTTTACATCAAAAACATTTACTACCATCATCATTCTTTGGTCAAACCTCTTCAAATTGCCTCACCAGACAAGCTTACTTTTATAAACACCTCAATTTGAGGATAATACAGATACTTTCTTTAGCCTCTCTTCTACTGGTAAGAGTTTAAAGAGATTAGACGGAACCTTAGATAACACAAGTTTCTGTTCCTTATTCTTTATCCAGAAAATTGTTCAAACACAAGAAGCCCGGTCTAGAGCCGTAGGTACTACAACAGTAAGGTAAACCCTTTTAAGACACTTCTTTTAAAGACAGTTGCTTTGTGTGAAAATATCCAATTCCAATAATTGCTCTAAAAAAATAATAAAAATTTGGAAGCTAAAGTTGCCTATAAAGAAAATGTTATATTTAAATAAAATAATGCATGAAACCGGGTATTTCTCATGCGGTTTACGCATCAGAATAAGTTCTAAACATTGGAGAAATTAAAGATGAAAACTTAACCAATGCATAAAAAAGTTCTCAAATGGCTTGATATCTGGCTCATCACTTCCAGTCAGTGCCTTGTAACTTTATATTTTTTCAGGAATACCTTTGGATGTTATCAAAAATATACATTATATACACATGCTTGGCAAATAAAGCCTAGTCCAACACATGCCATGCTAGCATTTAATACACTTAGAATACACAATGCTCAAAATATATCTCTTGCACTGCTTAATGCCACAGTGATGACTTGAAGGGGTAACTCTTACTCATGTATCATGTACGGCTCACACAAACCAGCTTTACACCATATTACATACCAAACAGGGCTTAAAGTAAAAGATGATATCATATGGATTGATCATTAAATTGCCTTATGTCTAAAACTCACACTTACTGATCTAGTCAAGGTTCGAGTCTCTAGTTCACACAGTCTAGAGATTAAGCTTACTGATCTGGTCATTATTAATCCAAAGGTTAAAGTAAAATTAAAATAAAAAAAAGGAAAAAAAAATTCTGTCAATCTGTGTAGCCTTATCCAAGTATCATCTAAGCCTCAAAAATACAGCTCTAGCCACATACAACATTTTGAGTCCAAAGATACCAATCACGCAGCACAGTTGAAGCCTCGCTTAAGTACTAACTAGGGGCTCAAACCTGCTGATCTGTATACATTTTGCCTTTATTTTCTCTCTCTCTCTCACTCTTTCTCTTTCTCGTTCAGCTTTTTGTTAATGGACTCGTGTTTTCTTTTCCCCTTTTGCTGGCCTCTTCCTGAGGACCGTCGACTGAAAGATAAAAGCAAGGAGGAACTTGGTGAACTTTTTGGAGGAACTTGGTGAACTCTCTTTTTTTTATAATCATTACTTGAGTATAGAGACATCATCAGAGCCCACTTTGGGTAGCCTCTCATGAATCAAACTTATCTTTATAACCAAAATACTGCAGCTTGGAACTCAATCATATCCCTGAGTTTATGCTTCTGGTTACTTTAAGGACAAGTATCTTAAGTCATTCAAATTCCAACTCCTTAAGATGGGGCTTATTTACATTACTCTTAAAGGGTCACTTCATTAGGTGGGACTTGAGATTTTGGTGTGGATTACCAAACAATTTCTAATTCAAATGGTTGGTTTAACAGCTGGGAATTTTTCCATTCATAGTCACAAGGGCAATCCCTTAAAGTTACTCCCCGTTTCCTTAAAAAAAGAGGAAAGTGGGTTGATATTTTCTTTAAATATATATCTAAAAAATATATTTACTACTACAAATTATTTACATACATGCTTCAAGTGTTGTGAATGCCAAACAAAAGATGCTAAAAACTTTTATCTCCGACTCTCTAAAAATAAAATTAATAAACAAAAAAAGTTGACTCAGCATTAATTAATAGTCTTCTAATGCCAATTTGCTAAAAAAAAATTAATAAATGCATCACATGAAATTTACTTAATGCAAGAAAATAGTGTCTTTGACTTTATGAACACTGGACAGTTAATCCTTTCAACACAAAAACAAGTGCTGAAATAACACAGGTATCTCATATCATCATAAAAACTAATCATACTTTGAGCCTTAGATGATAGTGCTTCAATAAGGCTCATTTCCCACAAAAGAGGAACAGTCCACCCTTGAATTAAAAAGAAAAAAAATCCAAATCTTATAAGCAAAGAAAATTAACTTGAGAACACATAACAATAAAAATAGAAAAATTAAATAAAAATAATAATAACACACTGGATGAAAACAGGGTAGACTGTGCCAAGAAAAAGCCTTATGTGGAGCCTACAGAGAAGGCGTAATATGAATCTCTCCATCTTGACCAACCCACAACAATATGCCCTCCCCCCTTGCCTGCTATCCCCAGCCTACTTACTGTGATGGGTTGGATCTCGGACCAAAGAGATTTTACTTTCCTCTGTGATGCCTGATCTGTGGCAGGCATCATCAAATTCTGCCACCTTTTCGGCAAACATGGAGTCCCATTCTTGACTCTCTGGCACCACAAACAACAGCTGAAAGAAGGGAGTCTCCTTTGTGTTCATTTGCTTCATCAAGTCTTTATTTCACCTTGTCCACCAATAAATCCCAAGTCCATTCAGTATTAAACACTGTCTATGTTGGAATAAAGATTATTATCTTAAAATATAATTATTATTAATAAATATGTGGCATTAGTCAATAGTAGCACAGATGATACTGGCCAAGATGGCAACAAAGATTTTAAAATCTATCAGTCTTTTATATTTTTACACTAGCCCACATATCAAAATTCACTGTGCATGCAACTGCTTTCACCTCAACTACTGCAGGTAAACTTTCACATTCATCCTAAATAGTAATGTTTCTTTCTTTTAGAAACTTCCTATGTATCACCACATTCTGTTTTTCACAAACTTTCTGATCACCAATGTGTACACTGTCTAATCATTTTCTCAACCATTCAACAAATGCAACATCTGACCAGATTCACTTCAATTCATTCCATTTTTATTTCCTTCAACAGTTCCTCAAGACCTCTCCACAAAATTTACTGTGATCATTTCTTACAAAACTTTCCATTCATTGGGGATGCAAGTTCCAGATGAGGCTTTGCTGCCTTTTTCACTAGACGATACAAATTCACGGGTTAAAATAAAGAAAATTAAAACAATGACTCATTGATACCAGGTGTTGTAAACATGCACTATCCAATGTGTTTTGTTTCATTCCAGGAGCATTTACTTACCAAGGAGTCAATTATTAGACTTACTTATCCCATTTCTTGGATTTTTAGGGCATTTTTCTTTTTTATTACTATGATTACTGTTAAAAATAATTATATTAATAATGATAATGACAATACAATGAAATGACAATATCATGATAATGA